CAGCATATGCTGGTTAGGTATGTTTTGAGCAGGAGCTAGTTGCTTAGGACCAGCACATGACCAGCTTAAACCAGCTCAAACAAGCTGCCATGCTTCAAAACATACCTAACCAGCATATGCTGGGGAGTCCTCTCACTCAATTAAACATGCAACATAATAATGTAATGAGACAACAGTGCAGCGTAGTACTGCTTGAAATATTTATCCTTACATGCACTGTTCCTTACACTGTTTCTCACACTGTTTTTCAAAATAGTGTATAATGCACAGTAATCAGCATGCTGCTGTTTAATTCTGAGCACAGAGTAGCAGGAGGGAAGGGCAGAACTCTTCCAGTGTTTTCCGTGTTAGAACAGTCAAGTTGGAAACTTTTTTAATGTAATGAATTAAAGGTCCTCTGGTTGAAGTGTTCAGTGCATTCACACTGTAACTATGAACGTTTTCTCCTGTAGGTTTGTGAATGTTCTGCTGCCCGCTGCTGCGCGAGCCGTGGGTGTCCGGATCCGCTGGTGGCAGCCGCAGCATGACGGGGCCGATCGGAGCGACTGGGCTCTGGATAATGTGCTGATCTCCGGCTCAGATGCTCACGCTCAGATCTCAGACACGTTTGGAGGAGCGGCGCTGCCCAGCCATGAGAGAGCGCCGGCTGACAGCACACACACACGACACAGCGGCTCATCCTTCATTCATGAGGAGACCATCGGTACGAGATCATGTCTACACATACACACACACACACACACTACAGCAGCTCAGTCTCCTTCCACGAGGAGACCATCAGTACGAGAGATTTATAAACACACACACACCTTATGAGGGATCAACAAAAGTTGCCCCTTTTACAGTGCCCTCCACTAATATTGGCACCCTTGGTAAATATGAGCGAAGGCGGCTGTGAAAATAAATCTACATTGTTTATCTTTTTGGTCTTTCATTCAAACAATTCACAGAATTCTAACCTATCATTGAAGTAAAACAATTGAAAGTGGGGGGAAAATCTCATGATGAAATAAAAGTTTTTCTCCAGTGCATGTTATCCACAATTATTGACACCCCTAGAAATTCCAATGAGTAAAATATCTCTGAAGTATATTCCCATTCATATTTACATTATTTAGCACACCAGGGTGACTAGGAGCATGAAATTGTCCAGCCATAACTTCCTGTTCCACAGGATTATAATAATGAGGAACACAAAGAAGTTTTATGAGTAAAACCAAAGAATATGGTTCTGATGTGCGGAACAAGATTGTTGAGCTTCACAAAATAGAAAGTGGCTGTAAGAAAAGAGCTAAAGCATTGAAAATCATTTCCACCCATTTCCACCATCAGGGCAATAATTAAGAGGTTCCAATCAACTAAAGATGTTATGAATCTGACTGGAAGATGACGTGTGTCTATATCGTCCTAATGCTCTGAGGAGGAGAGTTTGAGCGGCCAAAGACTCTCCGAGGATCACCGCTGGAGAACTGCAGAGATTAGTTGAGTCTTAGGGTCAGAAAGCCTAAAGTTTCTATGACGGGTTTTAGTCATAACTGTGATTATTTGTGCATGCAGATGGATAAGTATGTGTGTTGTTTGTCAGATTGCGGTTGGCTGCAGTGTGCCGGAGAAGCCTGCAGAGAGACAGGTTCATGTTCAGTACTCCGTGAACTTCGGTGTGACCTGGAAGTACCTGGTTCCTCAGTGTTTACCTGCAGATCCTCGCTGTGCCGGACTGGTGTCGCAGCCGTCTGTGTTCTTCCCGGCCGACGGCTGGAAGCGAGCGGTTTATCCTCTACCAGACGGTCTCGCAGACACGTGAGAGATCGCAGACACTGCTTTGTACATGTAGCTGAAATCAGTTGCTGAGTTCTTCCAATGCTAGAGTCATTTCTCAAGGAGAATAAACCAGTTTTATCTCATATTCATCATGTCAGCAGAGGTTCGCAAACAGAAAAAACGCACTATGATTCGGTTTAGCATGGACAGTTTCATGCAGTAGAAGTCAAGTCATCAGTTGTCCTTGTACTAGTTAAATCAACAAACTCAACCACATCTGTGTCCCTGCAGCACAAAAGCAGTGTTAAGTCGCTGGGGGATATTTCTAGCAATAGCCAACAATACATTGTATGGGTCACAATTATACATTTCTCTTTTATGCCAAAAATCATTAGGATATTAAGTAAAGATCATGTTCCATGAAGATATTTAGTAAATCTCCTACCGTAAATATATCAAAACTTTTTTTGATATATTTTCTCAAAATGTTAAAAAAAATTTGCAGCCTCAGATTCCAGATTTTCAAATAGTTGTATCTCAGCCACATATTGTCCGATCCTAACAAACCATACATCAATGGAAAGATTATTATTCAGCTTTGATGATACATAAATCTCAGTTTCCAAAACTTGACCCTTATGACTGGTTTTGTGCTCCAGGGTCACATTTCAGACACAAAGTAAAGTGCATCTACTCTCCATTTTATTTACTTTGAAAAGTGATTTTTGCAAGCACACATGTAGGGAAGAGAGTTCTCTATAATCTTCAGGTGAGTGATGGATGTTCTGGTGTCGTTCACAGAGCGGTGCGCTTCCGCTTCTATCAGAGGCATTCAGATACGCAGTGGGCGGTGGAGAACTTCTACATCGGACCTGCTTGTGAGAACCACTGCGGAGGTCACGGAGACTGTCTGGACCAGCACTGTCTGTGTGACCCGGGCTTCACTGGGCCCAGCTGCTACGCCAGCACCACGCTGAAGGTAAACCAGAACCCAGTGCGACACAGCAGACGTGTAGTGCTGTCAAAAGTTCCGACCGCGGTACCAGTTTTAAAAACATCCATTTCCCGCTAAGATTTGAGCGCGGTTGAGCCGATTCTTAAACACTGCTGATTGGTCATGCTCAAGTATGTAAACTTGCAACAGAATACATACATTTTGTTATTTTAAATTTAGATTATTTAAAATGATTAATTATTATTAGTCTTTTTTAATTAATAATAATAATAATTTATGCATTTAGCAGACACTTTTATCCAAAGCGACTTGCAGTGCATTCAGGGTATACATTTTTTACCAGTATGTGTGTTCCCTGGGAATTGAACCCACGACCTTCTGCGCTGCTAACGCAACGCTCTACCACTGAGCCACAGGAACAATATTTGACAGTCGGTGTCATGGTGTGTGGCAACACGGATGGACAGGAAGTTTATGCTGTTACACATGACATAGTTCCTGCCAAAGGCTGGGTCATGCAGTTCAAGGTAAACTCTCACTGATGCACGCATGCTCTCGGCAATCACTCGTTTGTTTAGGTATCGTTTCTATGACGGGTTTTAGTCATAACTGTGATTATTTGTGCATGCAGATGGATAAGTATGTGTGTTGTTTGTCAGATTGCGGTTGGCTGCAGTGTGCCGGAGAAGCCTGCAGAGAGACAGGTTCATGTTCAGTACTCCGTGAACTTCGGTGTGACCTGGAAGTACCTGGTTCCTCAGTGTTTACCTGCAGATCCTCGCTGTGCCGGACTGGTGTCGCAGCCGTCTGTGTTCTTCCCGGCCGACGGCTGGAAGCGAGCGGTTTATCCTCTACCAGACGGTCTCGCAGACACGTGAGAGATCGCAGACACTGCTTTGTACATGTAGCTGAAATCAGTTGCTGAGTTCTTCCAATGCTAGAGTCATTTCTCAAGGAGAATAAACCAGTTTTATCTCATATTCATCATGTCAGCAGAGGTTCGCAAACAGAAAAAACGCACTATGATTCGGTTTAGCATGGACAGTTTCATGCAGTAGAAGTCAAGTCATCAGTTGTCCTTGTACTAGTTAAATCAACAAACTCAACCACATCTGTGTCCCTGCAGCACAAAAGCAGTGTTAAGTCGCTGGGGGATATTTCTAGCAATAGCCAACAATACATTGTATGGGTCACAATTATACATTTCTCTTTTATGCCAAAAATCATTAGGATATTAAGTAAAGATCATGTTCCATGAAGATATTTAGTAAATCTCCTACCGTAAATATATCAAAACTTTTTTTGATATATTTTCTCAAAATGTTAAAAAAAATTTGCAGCCTCAGATTCCAGATTTTCAAATAGTTGTATCTCAGCCAAATATTGTCCGATCCTAACAAACCATACATCAATGGAAAGATTATTATTCAGCTTTGATGATACATAAATCTCAGTTTCCAAAACTTGACCCTTATGACTGGTTTTGTGCTCCAGGGTCACATTTCAGACACAAAGTAAAGTGCATCTACTCTCCATTTTATTTACTTTGAAAAGTGATTTTTGCAAGCACACATGTAGGGAAGAGAGTTCTCTATAATCTTCAGGTGAGTGATGGATGTTCTGGTGTCGTTCACAGAGCGGTGCGCTTCCGCTTCTATCAGAGGCATTCAGATACGCAGTGGGCGGTGGAGAACTTCTACATCGGACCTGCTTGTGAGAACCACTGCGGAGGTCACGGAGACTGTCTGGACCAGCACTGTCTGTGTGACCCGGGCTTCACTGGGCCCAGCTGCTACGCCAGCACCACGCTGAAGGTAAACCAGAACCCAGTGCGACACAGCAGACGTGTAGTGCTGTCAAAAGTTCCGACCGCGGTACCAGTTTTAAAAACATCCATTTCCCGCTAAGATTTGAGCGCGGTTGAGCCGATTCTTAAACACTGCTGATTGGTCATGCTCAAGTATGTAAACTTGCAACAGAATACATACATTTTGTTATTTTAAATTTAGATTATTTAAAATGATTAATTATTATTAGTCTTTTTTAATTAATAATAATAATAATTTATGCATTTAGCAGACACTTTTATCCAAAGCGACTTGCAGTGCATTCAGGGTATACATTTTTTACCAGTATGTGTGTTCCCTGGGAATTGAACCCACGACCTTCTGCGCTGCTAACGCAACGCTCTACCACTGAGCCACAGGAACAATATTTGACAGTTATTTTTTTTTTATTTCATTTTTATTATTTATTTTATTTACTAATTTGCTTAAATTAGGATTACATTATGTAATTATTTGTCCCATTTTTATATCAATAATTTTGATTTTTTAAAATCTTTTTAAAATGCCAAATTGTATATGACATATATGAATATTTATTATGTATATATTTGAGACTAATATCAATGATAAATTAATAAATATTGTCTAACATTAATTATAATCTTTATAATGAATCAATAATAATTGATTAATCTGTCTAATAATGTCTAAAAATATAATAATCATGTCTACCAAGCTCTGATAATGTATGGAATATTATATTAACAGACTATCCCAATTTTAATAAACTAATAGGCCTATACCTGTAGAAGCACGGATGTGTAGGTCACTTTAAAGGTATGGTTCATCCAAAAAAGAAAATTCTGTCATAATTTACCCAGGTTGTTCTAAACCTGCATAAAGTTCTTTCTTCTGTTGAACACAAAAGAAGATACTTTGAAGAATGTGTCTCAACTAAACAGCTGCAGGTCCGTAACTTCCACCGTAGAGAAAAATACTATCAGAGTCATTGGGGACCAGAAACTGTTTGGTTACCCACATTCTTCAAAGTATCTTCTTTTAATGTTCAACAGAAGAATGAAATTATTACAGGTTTGGAACAACTTGTGGGTGTGTAAACGATGACAGAGTTTCATTCTGTCCCTTTAAGTCAGACAGTCCACCGTGAGCAACTGAAATGCTTCTCTGCAAACTGCGCGTTCATCATTAGTTAAAGGACAGACCCATTGATAACTTTCCCGTTCAGCTCTACATCTGGAGAGTCTTGTGCTCAAAGGGCAGATATGAGCTCTAGATCTTTTCAGCCGTTCTGGAGACGTCATCGCTGTGGAAAAAAGACACACTCTAAGACTTCTTATGAAACTGATTTCATTATAATTGTTATTAGTATTATAAACAGTGCAAAATACTTATTTGTTTATTCAACAAATTTGTTTATCCTTTGTAAAATATGGGACAAATCGCGGCCCGTATAGATTTGATACGGGACGCACCATTTTACCTCTAAATACGGGATGTTTCTGTATTTTAAGGGACGGGTGGCAACCCTTTTTCAAACACTCCCGTGTGTTTCTGTGTGAGCGCTCTGCTCGGTGAAGAGCGTGAAGCGATGGTCATTGACTATGTTTACATAGACATCAGTAATCTAATTATTTACCGTATTCTAAATAAGACAATATTATGATTAATGTATTTACATGAGTTGCTTTTACAATATTCCTTTCATGTTCCTGTTTTACATGTTACAGTGCATCGATTAATGGCACTCGTCGTTACATCCCCATGCAACCCCATCCGACGCCCCCTCCAGAATTTCACGTATAAACATATAGTTTGTCTTCGTTATGATGCCATATGCAGTTTTGGGTTTTGCATTTTTAATTTTAGGGTTAGGGTTAGGTGCAATAAGTAAATAAGTGCAAATAAATGCAACAAATAAATAAGTGCAGTTAATTATTTCTCATGCTATACGTCCAAACAGACGACGGCATTGTTAATGCCATGCTCTTTTGTTTGCCATCAAACATTTTACCACTGCAGGGAAAAGTCCTACACGACGGTAATAGTGTGATTAAGGTGTGTATATGTCTATACCAAGCGGCAGCCTCCCGCTCTCTCTCGTGAAGCCAACACGGAAGTGACTAAACCTGTAATTCATCGACTGGCCGCTAGAGGCGGGCTTCAAAAGAGAGTCAGTGCCATAGACTCCTCATAGTTAAAATGCCCAACTTTACAGCAGAAAAAAATATATTTACAGCCTGGAACAAAAAGTGGTTTTGGTCTATATAGCTAATGTTGCCCTTCATGACAACTGTGAGGGGGTGAATTGTTTTATAACTCATCCGTTTAAATTATATTAAGCCTTAAAGTTCTGCATAATTAAGGGCGTGGCCACTTGAGTGACAGGTGGATTGCCGCTGCTGTCACCGGCGTCGAGCTAGGTGGGCGTGGTTTCAGCAACCAGCTCCCGCCTCTTTGCCCATTTTCGATTATCCGGGAGTGACGCGCTGCCAAGATGGCGACGGCCGGCTCCGCCCACTTTGAGCTTCAAAAACGCTCTTCAGAAACCTACGGGTGACGTCACGGACACTACGTCCATGTTTTTATACAGTCTATACTGCACTTCGATAATGTGACTAAAATAGGAATGATCCACGTCTTAATTCGATTTGTGTTTTCCTCGTGTATGATTTTAGCTGGATTAAGGTAATCAAAAATCTTTTGATTACATGGTAGATTCTTAATCAGAGTATTGTCTTAATCGTGTTTAAATCGGATTATTGTTTTCCATGTAAATATACTCATTGTAGCCAATCACAGATGTAGCTCTCAAATCTTAGCGGGAAATGGACATTTTTAAAACTTCAGTACCGAATGGTATCGCGGTCATTACCACGTTACTTTTGACAACACTACAGACATGTGTACGCGAGCTCCGCAGACATCAGGCTTTCCTTGTGTCCCCAGCAGGCGTCGCTGAAGGAGCGCTTTGACTGGGACGGGGCCCGCGGGCCGCAGTGGCAGGTGCTGGAAGGCGGATACCCCTGTACTGACTGCAGGGTGCTGGTGGAGGGACCCGCTCTGTACTTCAGTGGTGCAGAGGCCAGACAGGCGGTCACCAGTGATCTGGACCTGCGTGGGGCGAAGTAACTGCACAGAGCATTTTCCTTTCTAAGTTCTGCTACACACATACCATACTGTATGTCAAACCCTTCACGCTTTCACAGACATCAGAGGCCTTTAAGCCGCGGTCACACTAGACTTTGAGCATGCTGCAACGGACATGAAATGACGTCACGCTGTGCAGCGTCTTTTTAAAAATTCAACATAACAAATTATAATATAACTAAAATGTAAAAATATACAATCTACTCCACTTTCCTACAGCGCTGCAGTTTTAGATTTATGTTCTTTTAATTCAGTTACGAGGTCACGCTGTGACGCATTGATCTGCTGTTGGTCACACGGTATCACGTGATGCGAATTCGCAGGTCAGAGTTCACCAAGCTTTTGAACTTTGGAACGCAGCAAGATGCAAAACTTTTTGCACGAGTTTGTGTTTCCGGTCTGACGCATTCGTATGCGTATGAATGGAAGCCAATGGAACGAAAAGTGCAGTGACCACACCTTTATTCTGCAGGCCTCAGAGAGAACCCTAACCCTTAATGTAGCTGAGCACCTCAACTGTTTAATCCCAACTGCCCAGCTAACAATAACATCAATGCTCCCAGAACACATTTCAGGGTTTGGTTTTGGTTAGGCAGGAACATGTTCTTTTGACACATTCTTTATTAAATGCTGTATTAGGTAATGACCGATTAATACAATCAGTTAAATGGTTTAAAAAGTCATTTATTTTTTTCAGTAATTTATCAAAATATTTTCAAATGTTTGCTGCATTGTTAAAAAATACACTTACGTGTATACAATAATATTGCGTGTGAGAAAAAAACAGGCCTAAGTCGTGTATAAGTCTCATTTTATTTTTTCATTCAGAAATAGGCCTAATGCTGACACGAAATGTTTACGAACTCCACGACAAATCCTTTTAATTTAACAGTATTCGGAAAATAACAAGAATTAAAAACATAAGAAGGACCAGCCAAAACTAATTAATTTAGGTTAAAACGAAACCGAAACCACCGTTGGGACTTTCATTCGACACAAATCCAAATGTTTCTATATTTGTGATGAATTTGAATGCCAAAATATTATTTAGGCTATTATGTAACCTGGTTGTGTACTTCACTTGCGTTCCAATATCCACATGAAACAAAATGTGTTTGGCATAACATCACGGCGGTATGGTGATGACGCTTAACGGCACAGATTTGACTACATATGTAAACTGAGCAGTGTGTTTTTTCCATATGTTTGACTGACTGTATTTTATTATAATAATTAAAAGGCTGCATTGTCAAGTTAGCGATGCTTAACTGTGTGCGTGAGTGCGTGCATTGTTTTCCTTCTAACAATGGAAACAACTAGGCCTACTCCTTGTCATACAGATAATCGAAACTGTAAAAGGTTTGCTTTTATTTGTGTATATTCACAATAAAAACAAATCTTTGTGCTTTTGTAAAATAAAGAAAAATTGGATGCCGCTTTCTGCCGTCTTTCGCGCACCACAAAAATAAACCGAAACACACTAGACTACTTGTTGCAGTTTTTTATTTTGTTTTGTTAATTTTATTATTTAAGTAAAAATATATTTCTCGTATAGGCCTATTTATTCGTTATATATATATATATATAGCCTAGCTTATGTTTTTCTCCGCTGCCCAAATCTGTGTGTACCCTCATATTAATAACATGTGCCTGTGCTGCCCTTCAGGTTTGTGGAGTACTGGGCTAAAATCGGCAGCGAGGAGAACGTTACTCTGTGTCATCGTCCAACCTGTCGGAAAGAGGGTGTGTTATTGGATTATTCTATTGATGGAGGTATGCTTCTTTAATAATAACACAAATGCAAAATCATTCTCATCTTTCCTTTTATGAAGACACAAGTCATACACGTTGATTGAGTTGTTCTCTCTGTAAGGTGTGTCTTGGACATTGCTCCATGAGATGGACTATCTGAAGTACGTGTCTGTGAGGAGAGATTACATCGTGCTGCCGGAGACAGCGCTGACCAACGCCACTCGTCTGCGATGGTGGCAGCCGTTCTCGCTGCTGTCGGGCCTGGTCCGGTCGAGTGCGGAGCGCGCTCAGTGGGCTTTAGACAACATCCTCGTGGGAGGCTCTGACATCAACCCCAGCACCCTCCTGGACACCTTTGATGACGGTCAGTCACGGGTTACTCACAGTGGCATTGAGATACCCTGAAGTCTGGAGCAGTGAAATATGATCCTGGAATCATGGAAAAAAAAACATTCTTGAGCTAATAGGCATGTAACGATATTATCAATATCACGATAACAAAACTGTCTCAATATTATCATGGTCACATGACGATATAAAACGATAGGTCTTCCGGGCAAAATAAAAGTTTTTAAAATATATTTGTTTTGGGCCATTATGCTTTGGCACACTATCTGTCATACGCACTAAAACCGAAAGCACAATATGGCTTAATCACTTCATCAAATCTGTTTTCGCTCCGTGTTTCAAAGCGAAGCGCACACTTGGTTCAGACGATCAGCTCGTGATCCGGTGTTTTCTGCGTCTCAGAACGGCTCGTTCACACTGAATGAATGCAGTCCACTCCTTTATTTCATGTGCTGTGAGTTTAGGAACACATAAGCCAGCAGTTATGCTTTATTTTCACGGCAGATGATTACAACATTGCACTAGATTTGTAGTGAGACGCGTTTTTGTAATCCTGTTTTCACTGAAGCTGGAGTTTTCCTTCAAAATAAAAGCTTAAAAGTGCAGCATTAATTGCTGACAGCTAGCGGTTTAAATGCAGTCCAGATTCAAAATATCTATTTCAAGTGTAGAAATTAGGAAAGAAGTATTGTAATTTCCCTGCTGTAGTGTAAAGCAAAAACAATATACCTATGAAATATTCATTTTCATTTATTTTACAAGTGCTATTGTTTTATGGCTTCTGCTGTCATGGTTGTTGTTATTATTATAATTCTGTTCTAATTAGTTTGGCTTCCTAAAACACCAGTGTGAATGTAATTTAGACTGAGACAGTAGATCACGAATAAATAGAGGGTTGAGTCCTCTTTAAAGTTCAGCTACTTTAAAGACGTTTTTCTGACTTAAGTTTTAAGAACATGGGTTGGATCTTTTAATTTTGAATTCTCAAAGTGCATTTTTTCTTTTTTAAATACTGCAATAAATATCGTATCGTGGACTTAATATCGCAATAATATTGTATCGTGAGATTTTGATATCGTTACATCTCTATGAGCTACTGTCCATATTATAGAGCTGCACTAATGTTCTCCTTCCTCCAGAGGGCGTCTCTCATGAAGAGAGTTGGAGCTTCTATCCCAATGCTGTCCGTACGGCCGGCTTCTGCGGAAACCCTTCGTTCCACTTGTATTGGCCCAACAAGAACCAAGACGGGTCGCACAATATCCTGGCGACCCGAGAACTCATTGTTCAGCCTGGATACATCTTACAGTTCAAGGTTTGAGCACAAGATGTTTGAGATCAGGGGCAGCGCTAAGGGGGCTGAAGCCCCGAATGTTTTATTACCAAGCACTGTACACATCATCACTAAATTTTCATGCGCATTAAAATAATTTCTATTAGAACCGCAGATGTTCTCTACATTCCATTCTCTCGTTCACTCCCGTCAAGAAATGCTTGAGGCTCGAACTTCTGACCAACTGGCCAACCATTGATAAAAAGTTACAGCAGCTGCTTCAGGTATCTGTAACTGAGTGTAGGCTATAACTGATCGCTATTATACCGATCTCGCCATTTGTCAAATTAAGTTATATGTTACTGAGCACTGTCACTGTGAAGCAACAAATATAGATATTTAATCATAGAATTATATGCAGTCGTCTATGGACACACACGGGTTTAGAGCGATTATATGAACGGTTTGTTCGGCGTGCATGGTTAGTGGCAGACTTTTCTTCGTGTCAAGGCAACAAATATTAAGTGGCTTAAATTGTAGAGACAATATTGCCTTTTTTGCTCTATTTCGGTAACGAAAATGGTTGCAAACAAAGCCATGTTGTGCGTCTCTGCAGCAACACACACTCTGCAGCGGTGTTTCTTTACTGAATGATTTTTGCTTTTTTGAACAAATCGGTTGATTCAATGATTCACTGATTCATTCATAAAAACGGTTTCTTACCCTGCGTCGCAATGTTCATACTATTCATCCTAAATAGCATGTGAGATAAGAATAAGTGTCACTTCGTTCCTGAATTAATTAGCCGTTTTGAAAGAATCGATTGAATAAATGACTCAGCGACTCACTTATTAAGACAGTGGCTTGCTGCCACCTACTGGCAATTTTAGTTTCACATTTAAAAGTATCATTCTATTTTTTTCTCTCATTTCATTCTATATTCCACTTTCTATATTTAAAACATTAATCTCATAACATTATTTATGCAATTTTTATGTGCAGTGTAAATGCATGTACAAGTGCCAAAAATAAGTGTATGGAGCCCTGCATGTTTAATTATACTTATGTTTATAAGTTTATACTGTGTATTCAGACACATCTGGATGTCTCTGGGCTAAGCCCCAGATATCTACTCACCCTATTACCTCCCCTGTTTGAGATCATTCAGTTTTCACACAGAAACACACAGATATACAGTGACTCTGGTCTTTGTCCACTTTAGATTGTGGTTGGCTGTGAGGCAGACCGATGTGATGACCGTCATTCAGTGCTTGTACAGTACAGGAAGGATGCCAGGTGAGTACAGGCGACAGATGTGCATGTGTAGCCCCCTTCACTCCTTCATTTTTGCAAGATTATCTGTATGTCCTGTAACTTTTATCTATTGCATGGGTGTCCAATCCTGGTCCTGCAGAGTTTAGCTTCAACTTGTCCCAACACAACTACCTGGGAACACCGGATCACGAGCTGATCGTCTGAACCAAGTGTGCACTTCGCTTTGAAACATGCAGCTTGATGAAGGGATTAAGCCATATTGTGCTTTCGGTTTTAATTCGTTTGACAGATACTGTGCCAAAGCATAATGGCCCAAAACACAACTTTAAAGACCTTTTATGTTAGAATAAGAAGTTAAAATATATTTTAAAAACTACACTTTTTGCCCGGAAGATCTATCGTTTCATATCGTCATGTGACCACGATAATATCGAGACAGTTTTGCTATCGTGATGCCACGATATTGATAATATAGTTACATCCATATTGCATTATCATTAGGATGTGTGTGCACAGCAAAATCCCCAATCTACAGAGTGTTAAAGTAACACTGAAGCCGAGTTAAAATTAGTGGGATAATTAAGCAATTCATTAATTGATGAGTGAGCATTAGTAAAGAAAACCCGCTGTTAATAATGTTGAAGATGAACAACTACTGCTCAGGCTTTTAGACATGAAAACGTATCACATAATCTTCAACAGTGGTAACTCTGCTTCAGTGTTACTTTAACACTCTGTAGATTGGGACAATATGTACTCTGAGCAGAGTTGATTTAACTCTGGGGATTTTGCTGTGTGGAGGTAGTTAGTTTAGGGTTCCTACGCAGTTTGGAAAAGTATGAATTTTGATATAAATAATTTCCAGGTCTGGAAAAGTATAAAAAAAGAAAGCAGAGTATGAAAAAATATTTGCATTTCCAGACTTATGCCCCTATTACATTTTTTTTTATCATCGAAAATTAAGAATTTCATGAAAATAAGTTCATCATACAAGAAGTGTTGTCATGGCAGCTGTTCAGTGATTCTTTAGTGATTGTCAAACACGACTGAATGAATTCAAGGTGCACTTTTTATTATGCAAAATGTTTTCATTTTGGGTTTCTTCTCACGATATTCTTTGCACCATATGACATAGCCTCAAGGACCTTTGCAAAAATTAAAAATATACAGACTTTTATGTGTGCACGAGAAACCATTAAACTTGGCATATAGGACAGCGGTCACCAAACTCGGTCCTGGAGGGCCGGTGTCCTGCAGAGTTTAGCTCCAACCCTAATTAAACACACCTGAACCAGCTAATCAAGCTCTTACTAGATATACTTGAAATTTCCAGGCAGGTGTGTTGAGGCAAGTCAGAGCTAAACTCTGCAGGACACCGGCCCTCCAGAACCCAGTTTGGACACCCCTTATATAGGACAATGCACACTGAGCCACCTGTTGCGCCATCAGCCCATTTAGCGGTGTGGTGTCTTGACCGCCACAGAGTATGCATTAAAGAGACCTAAGGCCTTGAAGTATGATATACTGCCCTAACGAAAGCATATTTTGAACACTTTTTTTACAATACTAGTCTTTTTTTATAGACCCTTGAACTTGGCAAACAGGACAATGCACACAGCCATATTATGCAATCAGCCCATTTCGTGTCATGGGTTTTCCGCCGCTGCAGAGGATGTGCTAAACTGGACATTAGGCCTTGATATTAGAGGTACTACCATAAGGAAAGCCAAATTTTGAGCAAGTAGATCTCTATTAATTCATATGCATCCATGCTCTCGCTTTATTCATAGTAAGATGGCAGTGATGCACAAAGGAAATATAAAAGTAGAAAGTGTAATGTGTAAACGTGCAAAAAATTCCCATGCGCAGGTGAATAGTTTCTTGAGGGCACAAAAAAGTTTGAGAAAGTCTGTATTTTTTTAAAGATTATTTTTTATTGTTGTCACTTTGAGAAAATCAATGAAAAAACCCTGAAGAAATAAGAATATTAACAGATGACTGTACTATATACCACATATAAAGCTGAAAATAGTGCTGCATGAACTATTTACGTTAAATATGGTCCGAAAATCTACTGAGAGTTTGGAAATTTGAGTCTGGAAAAGTATGGAATTTTGAAATGGAAAATGTGTAGGAACCCTGTTAGTTGTTAAAAGGACTTATCCTCAAGCTGGACTCAGGTATTCAGGCATTAATGCACATGTCTATAAATATCTGACTCTCCTTGATGTCTTCAGTGCGACACAGTTTCGCTGGATCCAGCACGAGGCCCCTGGCGAGCGCTACAGCTGGGCCGTGGATCACGTGTACATCGGGGAAGCGTGTCCTGGACTGTGCAGCGGTCACGGCTACTGTACCAGCGGACCCGTCTGCATCTGTGACGAAGGCCATCAGGGTGGGCATCAGTTCTCTATAACTCTGTGATTCCGTGAAGTTTACAACAGAACAAACAGGAACAGGTTTTGTCTTTCTCAGGTGATGACTGCTCTTTGTCCAGCAGTGAACTGCCCAGCTCTATAAAGGATAACTTTGAGTCTGGTTCGGTGTCTCAGGAGAGCTGGAGTTTAATTCAGGGTGGCGGCGTGGGCAGCGGATGCGGTCAGCTCTCTCCTCACGCTCACGGGGACTCGCTGTACTTCAACGGCTGCCAGATCAGACAAGCCATCACTACACCTCTGGATCTGACCCGTGCTAGGTACAGCAAGAAATATTCAAGACATCCTTTGCTTTTCTTGCTCATTTCAGTCATAGATACAATCAGTCACCACCCTCTCACCATCTCTCTCCTCCAGTAAGATCATGTTCGTGCTGCAGATAGGCAGCGTGTCGCAAACAGACAGCTGTAACGCTGCACTGGATCAGGCGGATACGGTCGACCGGGCCGTGCTTCTCCAGTACAGCGTCAATAACGGAGTTAGTTGGAACGTCATTGCTCAACACCAGCCAAAAGATTTCATCAAACCCCAGAGAGTGTCCTACAACATCCCACTGTGAGTCTGCAAACATGCATTACACAAATTCCATTGTTACAAATAATGCTGAATTGTGTTGTTCCTGTAGCTCCAACAGTAGAGTACGGTGCTAACAACGTCAAGATCATGGGTTCAGTTCCCATGGGGTGCATTAACTGGTAAAATGCATACCTCGAATGCGATGTAAGTTGCTTTGGATAAAAGCATCTGTCAAATGTGTGAATGGCTTGTGTTGAGTGTTCTTGTTTGAAATTCAGTTTGAGAAACATCAATGTACTGGAAGAATGAGGCCAACAAGTGACAGCGCTCTGATTTAGACTGCAGGAGGAAGAAGAACAGGATGTGATTTATTTGTTTTCAGCTGACATCAGCTATTCAATATCTATTGAAAATTACAATATCTAATTATGTTCCACATAGCCAAATGCTAAGTCTGGTGGCAGCGATGGTTGTGCTGGAAAGAAGTTGGATTTAATTTCAACAGCCTTGAATATAAAGTGCTGGGGAACACTAAACTCCTGGAGGGCCGAGAAGGTTCTTGTAGTCTGGAACATGCAGATGAATGTAGCTTTGCGGTGACGACGGTTCTGAAGTCCTGAAAATCTAAAACATGCAGATGGAGGAGCCTTGAAGGTTGCAGTTCCAGCATTGCTAACTTGACAGCGCAGTTGGTACTTTATCAAAATAAAATACAGTGAACTAAACATCAGCGCACCCACCTCTGTCAACGCGACTGAAGTACAAAGCCTATAATTTACATAATAAATAATAGTTTAACATTCAGATACATCGCAAATATGGAAATATTATGGAATATTTGAATTTGCGCCGAATGAGAGAGGTAGGATACACGAGCACAAAGCAGCATTTCGCAAACAGTTGAGTGCACAAGCCTTTAAAGTATACTCCTTTGTCAGTGAGAGACGCGTTCAGAATCAGCACATGGTCACTGTCTAGTGGGCTTTGTTTTCAAGTGCGCAACTCATGGCATTTGCTGTTCTTCTGCTGGCGGTTATCAAACAGCGTTGCATTACTGCGGGTGCTCCCTTCTGGATGTGAATTGCCTGTATTCGTTGTAAGGGCTCATGCACACCAAACCGAGACATCCGCACAGTGACGGTTCGGTACGAATACATGTATCGTTACACTCCTACTGTTAACAAATGCCATTACACATACATACCAAGAGTCATTCTCGCCTATTTTCAAGGACCATGGTGTTTTATTTTAAAGGGATCCACAGGTATTAAGATATGTATAGCTTAATATAACGTAAATTATGTCTCTTACTGAAATATGTAGTAGAAACCCCATGAAAGATGTATGCTATTTAAAAAAATCGACATTGTTTTTGGACTATGGGGGGGGTGCCATTATTTGTTGTGCACAGTACATTCTGCATCGATAATGTCAAATAGTTGCACTCGGTGAGCTACTGGCGCTTTTTACCGCAACACAACTCGCAATACACAACTCAGAAAATAAAATACTGATACGATACCACATTGTGTGGTTTTTGGTTGTAATTTTCAGTCGAAGGGCAACAAGAGAAGCGATGTAAGACTTCACTGCTTTCCTTGCAATAAGATGAGAAAAGAATGGGAAGATGCTGTGGATGAATAAAACTTCCTAAAGACCCACTTCTTTGTTCTCTCCACTTTAGTCCTTATGCTTTTGAGGCTTTTAGTAGACCACAGCTACTGAAAGAGCTTACAGATGGCCAAGACAAGAAACGCAAGATGCCATTCTGTTAGGATGTAAACATGCCGATGCTTGTCATGACGCCGCAGCCACTGGAGGAGTTTCTCAGCGCAGATTTCACTATATCCAGGGGCATTTAGACTCCTTGTTGGGAAAAATTGATGGCACAGCATTTGGTTTAAGCCTATGATTATATCCATCACCACCTCTTTCACCATCATCACCATCCATCACAAGCTCTTTCAGTAGCTGTGGTCATCATATCAGTATTTTATTTTCCGAGTTGTGTTGTGGTAAAAATAGCAACAGGTAGCGGCAGTAGCTCACCAAGTGCAACCATTTTACATCATCAAAATAATGGTGCCCCCTATAGTCCAAAATATGCATAAAACGATGTGAATTTTTTTAATAACATACATCTTTCATGGGTTTTCTACTACATATTTCAGTAAGAGACATCATTTACGTTATATTAAGCTACACATGTCTTAATACCCGGGGATCCCTTTAAGATTTAAAATTGTACCAAAATGTTCTTCTGAATTACATCTGGACTGCATCTGTAATGTGAGGGAGTCATGACAGCTGAGGTGTGGATCCAAATGCAGGCTTTATTTAAAACGTAGTCAGACAGGCAGGGTCGAACTCCAGCAAACAATATCATCCAAGGCAGAGGCAAAAGAGTAATACACAAACAGGCAAAGGTCAGGCCAGGCAGCAAAAACACTCAGAAACCAGGCAAACTGTCCAAGGTCAAAAACACAAAGGCAAGGCATTTAAACATGGGAAAACACGGGTACAAGGAAACAATAAACAGTGAGGTGTGTGTGTGTGTGTGTGTGAGTGCAATCTTTATAGTCCTCCTAATATGAGACAGCTGAGAACTGAGATCTGATGAGTCCAGGCAAAGGATTATGGGAAATGGAGTCCAGGGTGAATGGCAAAGGTACAGGATAGTGCCCTCTAGCGGAGCTCGGGGTGGGGATTGCAACAGCATCACTATGGAAGAGTATTTACTGGTGTGTTGGTTTCTCTGCTGCAGTGAGGCTCGTGTCAGAGGGGTGCAGTTGCGATGGTGGCAGCCGCGGCACGAGGGCGCAGGGCATGATCAGTGGGCGCTGGACCATGTGGAAGTAATTCTGTGAGTACTCCTGCCTCCAGACATCAAACCAGCCTTATGACAATAATTTCTCCTTCACTCAGACATCAGTAAAATCTTTCAGAAAGCTGAAGCCTGTGAGAAAAGTGCTTAGAAGTGCTTAGATATGCTTAGATATTTACAAGGCAAGACAATTCTCCTATTAGGTTTATAATGAAGTATGCTCATTATTAATACTATAGTTTCTACATGGTGCTGCATTGCTGATAGACATTAAACACTCCCCGTTCTCATCCTACACACACACACACACACACACACACACACACCTCACTCAAGGTCTGGTCTCTCTCTCTCTCATCACTGCCCTCCACATGTTCACTGCACTCACCCGTCTGCCTCCACCATCCTGCACTGTTCTGCAATAACCTTTCCCTTTCCTGACCTCCACTTAAATGTATGTTCCTCTTTGGAACCCCGCTGTTTTCACTCCCAACATTCAACTCTGTTGGCACTACATTCCCTCTGTTGCTCTGCTACTGCTGGCGCAGGTCAGGGTTCTTCCACCCCCAGACCTTTGTGCAAGCCAGCAACAGCCCTGTCCTGCATCTTATAACCTTTCCTCTCTTCTGTATTCTGCTCCCTATGGCATGGCTGTAGTGTCAGGTAAGTGCTTTGCTGTTCCCAGAATGCACCAGTGTTCCCTGCCTTTGGTCTTCCCTCATTGAAACTTTCTTGTACATCACTGTAGACCTCATCACCCCATACAGGTGGAAAAATAAAGGAAACAGCACATGAAAAAGTTAACTAAAGTTAATAATAATGTAGGTAAATCAATTAAAATTGCAAATGCAGCACAGCACATTCATTAGCTATTAGCAATACATTGTCATCTTGAAAATGCAACAGCTGTTAAATCAGTAGGACCATATTTCAAGAAGCACTGAAACTAAAGTTATAACAGTATGTCAATATACAGTTCTGTGCAAAAGTCAACATTTTTATTTTATGACTATACTTTTTGCTTTAGTGTGCCATATTGTTTTTGCCCAGTACTGTGTGCTTGTCAAACTGTCTGTTGTTTCCATTGTTGTTTTCCCCTGTATCCTACCCATCTAATCTAAAGACTCTTTCCTCTACACAACTGGAGGCTAATATCTCCCAATACAGAGCTAACATTTCATTTTTGGTTTTATACAGTAATTAATCATATACTTGAAAATATTATGGTCAGGGACAGGTCAAATCAGTCATCCAGGTCACTGGAGGATGTGACAGGAAAAACCCATCCTATATACAGCTGGAGTGTCAGAAATCAACTAAGCACAACACTGTATACCAAAGGATGTACTCAAGCCAACATAAAGCAAAATAGTGTAGCAGTGAAATGAAAGATTCAGTGTACGCTCACTGGTCACTTTATCAGGTGCACCTTTCTAATTCTGGGTCGGACACTCTTTGGCCCCAGAATAACCCGGAGTCATGATTGGCTGATTAGACACTTGCATTAGCATGCAGATGTACAGGAGTCCCTAAAAAGGCTACAGAGTGTATAAGAGTGAACCCTTCTGGACACGACTCGAACATCCAAGGGAAAAAGTGAGACTGATGTAGATACGCTGAACAGGGTGAGCAGATGACTTGAGAAAGAAGCCATTCTTTTCTGAACCTTAATTTACACACTGATCACACTTCTCACCATCGGGGAATCAGTTCCCACAATTCATGCGTCCTGTCGTGGTGTGTTAAAGGAATAGTTCACCCAAAAATGAACATTTTGTCATCATTTACTCACTCTCGTGTCATCCCAAACCTGTATGAGCTTCTCTCTTATGTTGGACACAAAAGAAGATATTTTGAAGAATTTTGACAAACCAAACAGTTGTTGGCAGCCATTGACGTCCATAGTAGGGAAAGAAATACTATGAAAGTCAATGGAGACCATCAACTGTTTGATTACCAGAATTCTTCAAAATATCTTCTTTGTGTTCAACATAAGAGAGAAGCTCATACAGGTTTGGGACCACATGAGGGTGAGTAAATGATAACAAAATGTTCATTTTTGGGTGAACTATTCCTTTAATCTCATCTGTCATTATACAACTTGAAGCTTCCTGGAGGGGTGGAATGATTTTAATAAGATTAAAATGTAGTCAAATATTACATGTGTGTGCATGCTTGGTAAAGAGCCGGTTCCCCGTCCCAGGTCCCTTAATTGTGATTGTATTTGTCCATGATGCATTGCTAACTTTGTGTGTGGAATCTAGTCCCATTTCTAGCCAATCAATGCCTTCCCAGAGCAGTGTGATGGGAAAGACAAGCACCTAAATGTGGCGTTTTTGTATACTTATCTATGAACTATTGGGTTTCCTAATTCTGTTTATTATAACCTTGTTTGAATTCTCCTGATGTGAACGACTACAAAGCTCTCCGGCTCTCACCTCACTTTCTTCCACACTGTGAAGTTATTCTGATGGTTATGATGATCATTACAAGTGCTGATAAAGTTCTGAAGAGGAGAACTGAAGAAGACTCGTGCTGAAGCAGTTTCTTGGATGAAGATAATGACAACGTGTTTTGCTGTTGTGTGTCTGTGGGTTCGTTTTGTGATGCGTTGATTGTGGTGTTCCAATCATTTGTTAGTTTTATACTAACTTGTATCTTTTGGGCTTGGATAATTTTTCCTTTGTGAAACAAGGCAAGTGGAGAAGTCAGCCTTGGAGAGGGGAAAAGAATCAAGCACAGAATGAAAAGAAAGAATACATTTAAAAAGAGAGACTAATGATGTTTTGTTGTTGTTGATAAATCACTTTTTTATATATCTTGGTTCCTTAAGAATATTTATGGTAAATGGTTCCCCACTAAACCTATTTAAAATACACTGTGGGTGAAATCTGTGTTGTTGTTTTTTCTGTTTGTTTTTTGTTTCAGTTTGTTTTGTTAGGTTTAAGTTATTAGGTCAGGTTCTTGGTTGCGATCGATCGACACCTTCCCTTCTCATTCAGAGTCATCCAGTTACAGTGCTGTTACACATCTCCTCATGTCCCCTCTTTCTTTGATGAGCTGTCAGTGTTGTTTATGATGTTACCTTCTCCCCTTCTTGGTGTAGCTCTCCAATATAGCAAGTTCTTGTATATATATATTGTATATAAATATATATATGCAGGGATCCATCCGCCTTATAAAAGGGAAATAAAGAACTGTCAAAACCTCCAGCAGAAGAGTGGTGATTTATTAAGGTGTTAAATTAACACAAACGCTCGTATACAATTCAAATCAGATTTATATCCCCATGTGTGACCCTCGACCACAAAACCAGTCATAAGGGTCTTTTTGTTTTAAATTGAGATTATACAGCTGAATAAATAAGCTTTCCATTGATGTATGGTTTGTTAGGATCGGACAATATTTGGCCGAGATACAACTATTTGAAAATCTGGAATCTGAGGGTGCAAAAAAATCTAAATATTGAGAAAATCATCTTTAAAGTTGTTCAAATTAAGTCATTAGCAATGCATATTACTAATCAAACATTAAGTTTTGATATATTTACGGTAGGATATTTACAAAATATCTTCATCTTATCCTAATAATTTTTGGCATAAAAGAAAAATGGATAATTGTGACCCATACAATGTATTGTTGGCTATTGCTACAAATATACCCCACCGACTTAACACTGCTTTTGTGCTGCAGGGACACATATATGAATAAGACCTAAAACTGATCAGAGAATCCCTGTGATTTTTCCTGCTTACACGTTTGTGGGTCATATCCGATCTGTATCTCCTGGGAGGGAAAAAATGGAATTGGGTCATTTGAACCATGTAATGTAAATGCGACCTTAGTCTAGTTGTTCGTGCAAAAGTCCTTTTTATTTTTAACATATTGTTTGCTGCAACAGAGCAAACAGAGGTAGAAATTCTGCAGCAGGTGACCTCACAAATGGGTTCGGCCGAGCACAGAAGACCCACGAGGTCCTGTGCACTAGACCGGTGCTGAGCTACTTCAAGAAGCAGAAAGTCCCGGATGGACTCCTGGGTTTCTCACAGGACCAGACTGGACTCCTGGTACAGGAAACCCCTGCAGGTGACCCCTGCGTTTAAAAAAAACAACTGTGGTCGCAAGTTCCATTGTTAGCAACAGCAGAACTTGTGACTGTAGTTGGCTAATGATGCTTTTGGAAAGCACACCCCAGATACGGTTTTGCATTACACTTACCACTGAATGACAAAATCACATTACCTGTCTGGGAATTTAACCTGGGCCATGGCAGTGAGCGTGAGCATGCCAAATCCTACCCATCAGACCACATGGAAGGCCTTGCGTTAACTGACCCTTTACAGTAACTGAATCTTGCTTGAAGGTGACTGATGCTAACAGTCACCTCGAATCCAAGGCCACAAAACTGCTGTTCTGTATGGGCTGCTATCTGCTGGGTTTTTAAGTAGAGTAGCTGAGCATAAGAATAAGAAGACAGTTTTATGAGTTCACACTTACATATAATAAACTGAGTAAAGGTTATATGTATTTGGCATGCTGTCCGGGGAGAGGGCTCCGAGCTTGGTAATTACTCTCGAGCCCGGGGTACTCCCCCTTTCTGGGGAGAGGGGTCCGAGCTCGGCTTTTAGCCTGGACCCAGAGCGTTCCCCCCAAGTGCTCCTCCCCGTGCTGGGGTAGGAACGGGCTGAAGGTGAGGAGTCAGGGTGGTGGAGGGATGCTGAAAGACTACAGATAATGAAGGTAAGACTGTTTTGATTATTTATAGGAGTTCTCTCTTGTGCTAGTTGGATAGAGGATGTAATTACTGATGATGGATTGGCCATGTTAATTATTTGTGTGTGCTCCTCCCGAAATTTGTTAATAAAACATCACTCCACGAGTTCACACTTACATATAATAAACTGAGTAAAGGTTATGCGTATTTGGCGTGCTGTCCGGGGAGAGGACTCCGAGCTCGGTAATTACTCTCGAGCCCGGGGTACTCCCCCTGTCCGGGGAGAGGGGTCTGAGCTCGGCTTTTAGCCCGGACCCAGAGCGCTCCCCCAAGATGCAATTAGTACGGGACAGCAGCCAGAGAGGGCCGTTGATAACCCCTCAAAATTAGCAAAGCTTAAGATTGGTGGGGTGCTGGACGTCGCTTGTAGTAGCGGCACTGCTATGGCTTTAGAAGAGAGAACTCGAGGCTCCTGCGGGAGCTGATACTGCTGTGGCATCTGAAAAGAAAAACTCCTGTGGGAGTGGGAACTACTACGGCATCTGAAAAGAGAAGGTGGCTTCTGCGGAAGCGGGCGCTGCTGCGGCATCTGAAAAAAAGTGTGGGAATTAGATAAGGCTCCTGCGTGAGCGGGAACTGCTGCGGCAGTGCGGAAAAACAGAAAAAGGCTCCTGCGGTTGCGGGAACTGCTGCGGCAGTGTGGGAATTAGGTAAGGCTCCTGTGGTTGCGGGAACTGCTGCGGCAGTGTGGGAATTAGGCAAGGCTCCTGCGGGAGCGG